GTGTCAAGTTTTAGAGGTGCAAAATGCTAAACAAAAGTAGTGGTCGAAACAGACACCACTCACTTCTTTGACTCTCAGGGCAGCCATTTTTATCGGGAATCAAATGAAAATTTGTCCGAATGATAACCAATAGTTGCCGATAATAATAGCTATTTTATAATTTGAATTAATTTTTTTTATCACAATAATAATGAATTTTCTATTTTCTATTAAATCTGTCCGGTTTTTATTCGGTTAAGCCAATAGTACATTAATACCCAGTACACAATTATTAATAATTTTATATTTATCAACTCATTTTATGCAGGATTAAAATGTGCTCATGATTTTGACATTAAAAGCTCCAAGGTTAGGAATTGATAATTTTGATATTTAATTGATATTTTTTGGTATATAAAATATTCTGAGCAGTTTAATTTATCTTTATTTTCATTACCACCTTAACAATTCAACTGTGTTTTGCAAATGGACTATAAACTAGGTAATTTAAACATTGACAAATAATAACTTAAATAATACAAGTTGTAAAACTTTGTTTAATGAAAATCATTAAATTATTATATTCCTTATTCTGTATTAAAATAAAAAATTATTATTATTATAATTTATTAAATTAATATTAATCAATCATCGTTATTTTTTTATCGATGCAATAATGACAGCCATTATAGCGACTGTGTCCGCACACTAAAAACGGGCGTTGGCCTACTAAAACGTGGTACGTGCACGGTCCCGCTACAGTAATCTACACAGTGGTAGTTACATGATTTGGACCTAGATGACAAGTTTAAACAACTGGCCGCAGGCGCGCCGTACGGCTCACGATATTACACACGCTTTGAGTTAGAGGACAGTTACATCACTCGACTGCCGGCCCGTATATTTCACGGCATACAGTTTGGCGAACTCAAGTTTGTCGGTTGTAGTAAACTATCATGTGTTGACCCTGGTGCTTTTGACGGACTCGGACCACGTATCAATCGGTTCACCGCTGAGTTGTCTAATTTCAGGTATTACCATATAAGTTTATCAATACCATGGTTAGATGTTCAAAAATAATCATACTGACTCGTGAGTGAGTGAGTTAGTGAGTGGGGAGAGAGACTCTCTCTCTCTCTCTCTCTCTCTCTCTAATTAAACGATTTATAACATTTCTATAATTATTCTAGACACATGTTCGTACATAAATATTTACAGTACATCGCGTGGCTATTTACGGTGCACGCTAAATTTCGCCGCGTTGAGTACATTGACTAATGTGGAGACCATTGAGATAAAGGGCAGTCAAATTCTAACAATACCGGAAAACGCATTCAATGACAATATGGGTGTACTCACAAACTTGCACACCGTTGACTTTGGCGGCAGAACGACCAAGGGTGTTATACAAAACATTAGCGCAAAAGCATTCTCCACATTACGAAGTTTGTATTTTGCCATTACAATACATTCATTACTCACTGATATATACTATACCATACTGTATATTGTAAACTTAATAATAAGTAGAAGTCATCTAGCATGTTTTAAAATATGTATAGTTTAAGTGTACATTTTACAACAAATTGTATAATTAAATATGAACATAGAGTTTTGCGCACACATTTTTTATAAACTTAAAGTTAATTAATAATTTTTAATTACATGATCACATTTAAACAATATACAGACGTGCGCCTTATAGACGTGTCCAATCAGAACATCTCGGTGATTGGCCAGGATGCGTTCACATTCAACTACCGTAACGACGAGCGGCTAACCATACGACTAGAGTCTAACTCGTTGACCGGGCACGGTTTCGTGGGTCGGGTGTTTCCCATCAATCGGCCCCTAACCATAACAATGGGCGGCAACGCTAAGCTCCACTATTTGCCCGAGGCAACTTTCTATGATCTATTTGTCGAAACGGGTGGCTACAAAAATACACTGGATTTGGGCGGCGATCAGATGGAGATTGACGTAAACAACGAATGGATCGTCAAGTAAAACATCTTGGTGTTATGTGATATCATATGACACGTAATGTTAAGTCATGTGACATCACATGACGCCCCATATAACGTCATATGAAAATATATAACTTAATCCTGTGTACAATTTATAATAGGTATAAAGTGGAGTTAGATTTGAAGGATAAGCTGTTCAACGCGTGGGGAGACGACGGCCGGGAACTACTCAAACACACTGACAAACAGATGCAAAAGCCGGCGCCCACTGACGCAACTAACGTTGTCAACGATAGTGATGATCTAGATGATTATTAGCCAAAATTAATTAATGTCATTTGTGTTTCATTTTGTAACGCGATAAATTTTTACGATTGTTTTATTTGAAGTTTCAATGTTTGTATTGCTCTATAAAATAAAGTTCATAAAACATAATTTAAAATATGCTTTTATTCTTATGATTTTTTATTTAAGATCAAATTAGTTATTGATTATAACTTATATTTTAGAAAACTGATCAATTAATTACAATCTTTTAATAAAATAAATTACACACGGAATAATAATACATTATTTATTAATTATAAATTGCTCAAGCTTCTGTGCAATAAATAAAACAAATAGTTTAACACTTTTTATTTTTTAAAATAATTTTTTGAGGACTAAAAGTAATTTATAATATAACTTTATACTCTGTTTATTTATCTAATCAACTTCATAAGTTATTTCGTGAAATTGATTTAAAATTAATTGATATGACAATAATAATAAGCTGTAAATTGCTATTTATCAAAACATAATTTCACCAGCTTGAATGCTACTCATGAGTATGATATTAAAATTGCCAAGGTACATTATTTGATAAAAAATTTTGTAATCAATTAAAAAGTATATAAATCCTTTAACTTAATTATCGTTTTTATTACTATTTAACAATAAAATTGTGACTTTTGAAATGGACGCTAAACTAGGTAATTAAAATTTTTAAACATAGCATTAATAAAAAATTATAAAAAATCACGATTAAAATTTATAAATTGCTTATTTTTCAAATATAATAAATAAAAACCAGCTGTGATTGAAATAATAAATCTCACATATTTATTAAAATAGCCACGTTATTACTGTCGGTGCTATCACTGACTCGGGCGAGTGATTTCTGTCCAAACCCGGAGGAATTTGCACCATGCACGTGCCTGAACGATGTTATTACATGTATCAACGCCGAGAAAAAATTGAACCTTGATGATAAGTTCAGACTACTGGCCGCCGGCGCTCCGCCCGGCTCTCGATTCTATACCCGGTTTGAGTTGGAGGACAGTTACATCACTCGACTGCCGGCCCATATATTTCACGGCATACAGTTTGGCGAATTAAAATTCTCAAGTTGCACTCAGCTGTCGTGTGTGGACCCTGGTGCTTTTGAGGGACTAGGATTTTGTATCAATAAGTTCACTGCTGAATTAACTAATTTCAGGTATACAATATTGCTATTTACTGTTGCTAACATGTTACTAAAGATTTTACTTTAGTATAGTAGTACTTTACTTTATATATAAGGTTTGTGATTTTCCAATTTATGCTTTGAATTTATATAAAATAATGTATAAAACTTAAACATTAATAGCTATGCATTTCATTTACTCTTTATTTTTATTCTCTTAATTTTACAACTTGCTTAGTCAATGTAAACGGGTGTAAAAAACGAAGCATAAATTGACAAATCACAAAACATATTAGCTTGATATTTGAAAAAAAAACTTTACAAAATATATTCTACCTGAATGTTTTTAAAAATGTAATACCATCTACAGTTTAACATCGATCACATTTATTTATTTTGAATCTAGCGCTCCGGTTAGCGCGTCGTGCGATCTGTTCGCCGCGTTGAGTACATTGACAAATGTGGAGACCATTCAGATCACTGACAGTCAAATCACTCAAATACCGGCAAACGCTTTCAATGACGGTATGGGTGAACTCACGCACCTGCGCAAGGTTGATTTCGGTGGTAAACTGCTCAAGGGCCATATTCACACAGTTAACCAACGTGCATTTTACACATTACCAAGTTTGTATTCTTGAATATAGCAATTGGATAAATGAATGAATCAAACATTTTTTGTGTCAAAGTTAAGCTAGCATATAATTAAGTTAGATTATGTACTGTAAATGTTGTGTATAAAGTGTTTATTAAGTTTACTATTGTTTATAATTCTAATTAAATATTGACAAATATTCTATGTTTAAATATTAGCTAATATTTAATTGTATTATCATACAAATTAAACATAGATGTAAGCCTGATCGATCTGTCCAACCAGAACATCTCGGTAATTGGCCAGGATGCGTTCATGGTAAAACATACAAACGTCGAGCGACTCAACATACGACTAGAATTAAACTCGTTGGCAGGGCACTCTTTTACCTACGAGGTGTTCCCCATTAATCGGCCCCTAAAAATAACCATGGGCGGTAACAAACAACTGCATTATTTACCAAGAAGCACATTTTACTACATATTGGCCCAAACCGGTGACATTGTAATCGACTTAAAGGGCGATCAGATGGAGATTGACGTAAACAACGAATGGCTCGTCACATATAAAGATGATATCAATTTAAAGGTGAAGCTCACGAACGCCATGGGAGACGACGACCGGGAACTACTCCAACACACTGTCGACGAAATGCGTAGACCTGTGCCCACTGACGCCTCCAACGTGGTCAACAGTAATAATGATGATCATAACGTTTAAAGTTTATATCTTATTTAAATAAAATATTTTGTCATTTTAATATTTTTTGTTGGTCTGAATAAAATAATGTTTACGCTTACTTTATTTGAAATATATTTATATATTTATTCTTTTATATTTATTGAATTATTTGTTAATTATTTGTAAGGTATTTGGAGTTTAGGTGAATGTTTTGGTGAACACAGAATATAAAAAGTTAAATAAGTTGCAGTCGTTGTATGTGTTTATGCAAACAGTATTTTATTTATTTAATTGGTGAACACGAATGAAAATGAATGGTACAAATATTATTGTAGATATGGTGGAAAACAATTGATTAAAACATTGAATTAAAGTTAAAAAATACAATTGAATTGAAGGTACACTTGTGTACGAGAGTTGGGTCTAAGACAGACCGTGTGGTGCATAAGGCATACAGAATAAGGCATTAATTGTTACATTTTGTAAGTATAATGATAAGCATTCAGTGTTTGTGTTTGTGTTGGACTTTATATAGTCGGTTGTGTACAGAGATTGGGGTCACTTTGACCTGATTTGAGTCCACTTATGGAGAGAATGTATATTGTGTTTTGTGTACAGAATGTGAGGGCTATTTGTGGGACAATTGAGGGCTTTGTCGGTAAGTTTAGGGTTAGTGTTAACCGTGGGTTGTATTTCAGGGCACAACTGAAATAGAGACTGATTTCAAGTGAAAGGGCTACTAATGATAGTGAAAAGTGGGACACAATTAGTGACACAATTCTGGGAATTGAATAGCCATTGAGTTTGGCCATAGGGTTTGGGCTATGGTATGGGAGTTATGGTATGGGAGTTATGGTATGGGAGGCAATGGTATGGGAGTTATGGTATGGGAGGCAATGGTATGGGAGTTATGGTATGGGAGGCAATGGTATGGGAGGCAATGGTATGGGAGGCGATGGTATGGGTGTACTGCTGGGCGCACATAGATTAGGGCCAAAGAATTGGGGCCGGAATGCAAGGGCACTCACTATACCTTTATATATTTAATATAAAAACTGATTATAAATTTCAGTTGAATTACAGTATTTTTAAAAAATAAACATTTTAAACAGAATAATAATTTTTGACAAAAGATATTAACATATTATGCTTAATAATTGCTTTATTTATATTGGATTGCATTGATTGTTTAATTTTATTACATAGATTAATATTTAGGCGGTTTATTCATTTCCTCAATAGTATGGCTGAGTAGTGGCCGGCCGTCGGCACCGATCGCATGCAGGAGCCGATGGTTGAGATCGAGGCTAACCTTCTGCTCGACTAACCATTTATTGTTTAAATCAATTTCCATGAGATCTCCGCTCAAATCAATTGTGTTTTTCTTATTTGCTTTGAAAACCCCTTTAAATACATTTTGGGGCAAATATTTGAGTACTCTATTGGCCCCGAGTTTCAGTTGAGTGACCGCACCGTCTGTCACGATATCGCCGCCAAACGACGTGCCCGTCAGTGCGTTGCCCATCAGGTTTATAGTCATACCATCGCCGATATAATCAGATAGATTAAACGCGCTGTCATCTACCCTGGTCAAATTGTGATACGATACATCCAGTTGTTTCAGCGCTAATAATTATAAATAAACAAGTTTAGTTATAATATTAATTTTATGCGTTTATAAAAAACAACCATGATTTTTATACCGATACCTTTTAAGGCAGAGAATGCCTCTTTGCCAATGCGCTGGAGTTTACCGCCAGAACCGCCATTACTGAACGTAATTGTGGTTAAATTAACCTGGTCACCCAGTTTATTATTAAACGCTTGGTCAGGTATCTTGGTCCACTCACTTCCTATTATGGCTATACTCTCTAAACATGTCAGTGAGCTTAACGCGCCAAACAGGTCACAATCCTTGCCCCTTAATGAACTAGGTGAAATAAATACAATAAAAAATAATTGTAATAATAAAACATTGTTATTTATTATATTAATTACTGTACCTTAAATTGGTAAGCGTGGCTTCAAACCTGGTCACACTGGCCTCCTGTCCGCCAAAAGCCATTGGATGTACGCAAGCTAGCTGTGAACAACCGGTCAAAATGATCTGGTTGAATTGCACCCCTTTAAACATATAGGCGTCCAGTTTTGTGACGGCTGTGCTCATCAACTCAAACGTTTCGTACGACCGATTCTCAGCTCCGTTCAATAGGAGCTCCATAATAGGTGCTAGGTCAATTGGCTCAGTGGCCACACACTTAATACGCTTGCCATCGCAACTACAGGGACTGATCACATCCGGGTCTGACGGACAGTACTCTCCGTTTACCACAATTGCGGGGATAATTAGTTGAAAACCTGTGAAAGTTTGGGGAAAATGTTTTATTTTGTATTTTTTTTTGGTATGTATTACAGTATAAGAGTGTTTACCTATTATTGCATTCAGTGATAGCATTGTATTGATTGCTATTCTCTGTGAATATAATATTTGTTATGAATGTTTTCACATCTTATTTATATTGTTAAGTGTTTTTATCAATCATTTTGGTTTATAGTAATCTCTCTCTCTCTCTCATTTCAGGTATTACCATATAAGTTTATCTCTCTCTCTCTCTCTCTCTCTCTCTCTCTGTTTAAATTGTCAATAATCTGTTACCTTGAACTATTTCATTAGTAAAACTAAAAAATAAATTTAACAAATATATAAGATTTGTTTAAAGTGAAAAATGTTTTCATAGAATTAATTATATCAAGATTAATTCTTAAAATCAGATACTTTAAACCAATATCAATTGGAGCAATGTTATTATCTATTAATTAATTATTTCACTATAATTTTGATCAAAATATCTATGAATAGGGATGAACATAAAGTGCATTAATAAATTTCATTAGAAATTATATCTAGATAACATTATTTTTACACACCTTTAATATATATTTAATTTTTCGTAGAAATAAATGCAAATTCGCACTAATAGTTCCAGATTAATTTTATTTTACAAATAATTTTTTAAAATTAATTGTAATTTATGTTATTATAATCTAAATTAATTAGATTATGCAAAAATATTTTGAAAAAACTCTACTAATCTATTGCAATGAATTGCACATGTTCCTATTAAAACTTCTTATCAGATTTTAGTATTTTCAATTGAATGCTAATATATTTTTCAAAATGTATAAATACATAAAAATTAGTTTCAAAAAATCAACACAATTAAATCAATTGTAAAGATTGTATAAATTTTACAAAATTTAACATGATTGTAAAACTAGGTAAGTTTTTAAAAATATATTGAATAAAAATTATTTAAACATAATGCTCATTAAATAAAATACATAAAAAAATTAATTTCATAATTCTAGCAATCCTGGTAATATGGTCGTTGGCAACATTGAGCATGGGGTGCGACTATTGCCCAGACTCTGATCTATTTGCACCATGCACGTGCTATCAAGACGTTATCACTTGCATTAACACCGCCGACGATTTGGACCTTGATGAAAAATTCACTCAACTGGCAAACGGGGCGCCCAAAGGCCTGTACAACACGTTCATATTGGAGGACAACTACATAACCTCATTGCCCGCATCATTGTTTCACGGCATTAGGTTTAAACACATTATACTCAACGGGTGTTCAAAGTTGTCGTGCGTTAATCCCAACGCTTTCAATGGACTCGGAGATGATATCCAGACATTTACGTCCGATATAAGCGACTTTAGGTATGCATATTGAAATATATTTAATTAATTTAAGTATGGTATAAGTTTTTATATCAATAATAAATAACATTATGGTATTTATTAAAGTGCACCAAAAAATCAGACTTGCGATCTGTTTGGGGCGTTGAGTACATTGAAAAATGTGGTCTCCATTAAAATCACGGGCAGTAATGTACCGGAAATTCCCGACAATGCCTTTAGTCAACCGCTGGGTCCGCTTAAATACCTCGAGCAGATTGACTTTGGTGGCAGTCGGACACCGGGAAAATTGACCAAGATCGGACACAACGCATTCTCAACACTCAACAGTTAGTATTTATACCAAAACAAACTACCCATGCATAAAAATAATATAAAACTAACCATATTTAATGTACCATGCTCACAGATTTACAGCTCGTGGATCTTTCACGACAAGCGATAGCATCGATAGGCGCGGAGGCCTTCGCGATGAGCACCCGGTCTAACGACGTGCTGGAAATAAACCTGGAGATGAACCGCCTGTCAGGGCCCGGGTTTGGCCAACGGGTGTTTCCCCTCAACCGACCCGTTACTGTCCATCTGAACGGTAACATGAATTTAACGCAATTACCGGAAACCGCTTTTTATGACATGTTGGCCGCCGGCGGACACGACCGCAATCGGGTCTACATTACCGGCCCTCAGATGGAGATCGACCGCAACAACCTATGGTTAGTCCAAAACAAGGTTCAGTTGGATCTGAAAAATAAGCTGTTTGGCGCGTTGGGTGCAGACGGACGGCCATTACTTGACCACACTGTAAAACAGATGGACAAAGACCCGGCTAACTTTACCATCAATGACAATTTTTATGATATGGATTAAGCTTATTTGATTTTTATATTGGATATTTTGTTTTATTATATTGGATTACTTTTTTTAATTGATTGTTTAATTATTATTTGCTAAATTTTAATAAATATTACCGAGCATTTAATTTATTGTAGTTATTTTTTTAAAATAATTTACTGTATTTATTTTTAGTGGCATTATTAATAATTGAACATGAGAAACTGTAATTTACTTTGTGTGTAATTATAAGTACAAGTATTCAACATTTATTATGAATACATTGGGGCCACAACATAAGAGCCAATACTTTTTTGTTAAATGTTTTTAATTAAAAATCAATTTTTTGGATTATTATTTAATAAATTGGAAAAATAATAAAGAAAAAGTTAAAAATCTTGATAAAAAAAGATAAAAGTTATCATGCGACAGCCGGGAGTCGAACCCGGATCAACTGCTTGGGAAGCAGCTATGCTAACCGTTATACCACTGTCGCTGTTAACCTTGCATTCGCTACATATATATATTTGAGCTATACTGATATAAACTGTCACTTAATTCACAATGTTTTATTTTGTATGGCGCATGTTATTGCTATGGTATTGTTTGGTTGAATTCATCGCTGTTTAGTTTATTTTGCCATTTATTTATTTTGATTATGATCATTTTATTTTAGTCGGTATTATGCCTGTTATCTAGATAGAGTACTTGTTTTTACATTGATTATTTTTACTCATATTTTAATATTATTAATTTTTGTTTGATTTAGTTTACAAAGGCGCTTTAATTAATCACTTTATTTGTTATAATACATTATTAATAATTGAGTCAAACAATTATCACCTAGAAAATATTTTTACATATTATCTAGAATCTAGATTCTAGATTTTCCAATGTTGTAATTATTAAATTTAATTAACAATAAAACATGTTGAAAACAATTTTACTTTTATTTATTTCCCTAATTAAAAGTTGAAATAGTTTAAATTGTGTACTTTTTAATTACAAAAGGGGTTAGCCATATGGTTTATAAATAAACTAACAAAATTAATTAAATGTTATAAATATGCTAAAATAAAACTAATTAAAAAGCCTTATAACAAAATAAAAACACAAAACATGTCTACAAACGGCTAAACACATGCATTAATTCTTGTTTAAAAGTTTTAAATTAAAATTATTAAATAAATCATACGATATAAAAATCACCATCATATAAAAACTTGTTTTACCGTATCAAAAATGTCCAACTTATCGCTCAGCGCATTATTCATCAGCGTAATCATTATATACCTAGGTAAATGTCAACATAAAATCTAACCTATCTTAATCAAACTAAAAAATAATTATTATAAAACTTCAAGTTCATTTAATAACTCAATACCAACTTAATAACCATATATATATTTAATCATGTAAAGTTTACATTGTACATTTTATCATAGTAAACGATGCGAGTCTACTGAACCCCAACCGGGGCATCAAAATCGACAGCAGAACAAACCAGGCAACAAGTGCTGGGGGTAAGTCAGGGGCGAACCCCGAGGGCAAAGCGCGGGGCAAACCAGTAAAGGCCGACACCGACGACGACGACGGCGAGTATATACCCGAAGCGGGCGAAGAGGTGGACAACACCGACGCCGTGGCGGGCGATGACGACGGCGACGACGGCTCCTATAAGCCGGAGGCCGGAGAGGAAACGGACAGTACGGACGCCGAGGCCGGCGACGACGGAGAGGACGGCTCGTATAAGCCGGAGGCCAACGACGAACACGACGGCGAAGAGGAGGCCAAAGGGGGCGCCGCCGACGGGACTGAAGGTACGGACTATACCGTAGAAGTGTTTGATTATCGAGAGGAGGGTAGCGATGGGACAGACGGTACGGACAGTACTGTAGACTATGTGGAAGAGGGCGAAGAGGGCACCGACTATACAGAGGGTAACACCGATTATACCGGGGATTACACAGAGGGTACTACCGATGAGTATGCGGATAGTGGCGAACACGCCGGGGCTACCGATTACCTTGAGTATAGTGATGCCACAGAGGCTGCTGATGAGTCAGGCGATGTGGAATATGTTGTGGATGTTGAATATGTAGATGACCAAGATCAATATGAGATTTTACGTGATAAAAAGTCGCTAATGTTTTAACTGGTGTACTTTAATTGGTGGAGCTTATTATAAATAGTATTAATTAGATATAGTATTAAATTGTAACTCGTACATCTTGCAAAATTATTAATGCATTTAAATGTTTAGTTTGGAACTATGATGATGTTTTTTGTGTGTATAATTCTCATTAAAGTAAAATAAATTAAAATTCTTCTTATATGGGCTTTCCTTTACAATTATTTTAAATTAATTTCATTGCATTTATTACATGAACTAAATGTACATGTAACTTTACTGTAACTTACATTCATAAAAATTATTGCATCGACAACTAAAATGTACTATGTAAAAGGGTAAAAAAATAAACACTTAATTATTTTAAATTATTTTAGAGTTTCAGTAATTGGAAAAAATTAACTGGGTTAATTGTTAAATAAGCGCACATTTCACACATACCTACCTTATTATATACAGAGGCGTCCAAAGCGATGAGGGGTAGGGTTGGACCCACCGACGAGACCCCCTCCCAGACGGACGTCATGTTAAAAGAGTGGAATATAAAGGATAAGCTGAAAGAGGGTCTGAAGGACTTGGGAGGGCTGATAGGCCTGGGAGGCAACACCACCACTGAGTCCGAGTTTGAGTACTACGACGACGAGGCCTTGTCTACCAATAAGGACGGCGTGGTTACCGACGCTGACGGCAACGAAGTGACCACAAGTGGGTGGGAAAAGTTGTGGGAAGGGCTGGACATTCAAACGGAAATAGTAGAACCTGGTACGCTTTATTTGTTACCATCATGACGATTAACTTGATTAATAATTATGATTATAAGTTATGAGCTTGTTTGTTGTAATACTTTAATTTTTTACTATTTTTTTATTTCACCAAGGTCAATTTTAAATGTATTTATTTATTTTACTAAAAGTTATAATTTATTTTAACTAACATAATAATGACATTTAATTTATTTAAATTCTCATATCCAATAACTTTCACTTTCACCTAAGTTAATAAAATTGTATAAATTATTACAAATAATGTCAAAATGCTATTAACATTATAAAACTGCTATAGATTACAATGATATTAATTTAAGCATGCTCTAAATGTATTTTAAATAAAATATCAAAAATAACAACTATTAACAAAAGGCTAAATACAAAGCATTTAACATTTCATAAAAATATTAATTTATTTTATTTGTAAAACAAAATACAAGTGAAAAGCGAGGAAGAAATCGACGAAATATTAGCCGATATTTACAGATATGGAGACAAAGATCGTAAATATCCGACTGAATTCAAAAGTTGGCTTGATACATTTTGCATGTATTTAATTAATTGAGAATATTGTGTTTTACTTACTACATAATTAATTTAATTACTACCACAGCAATAGTACGGCAAATGTCAGAGCGTTGCGCAACTATTTTAACAGCTATTTTTACACCAAAACTATCATGAGACAATTCGCTGAGCATATGACCGTTGGCTATAATGATTTGAGCATGGCCATGTGCAATAATAGCAAGATGAGTGATGATACTATTCAAGTCATTGACAAACAATTACCATTGATAAATGAGAAGTGGGACGTGTTTAAAATGCTCCGGGATCAGTTTATGATTGTCGTGGCCAACGCTACCGGAATGAACCCTAAAAGTAGAGTTAAAACAATGCTCTGGTTAGTTTTATTTAATTAATTTAGTTATCATAATTACTTTTAAGCAAGCTAACTTGCCCAATTATTAACATTACATTAATCTCTCTCTCTCTCTCTCTCTCTCTCTCCTCAATAAATTACTCTCTACTCCCGATATAACTAACAATCAAACTGATAGTCACTTCGAGCACTACATATACAAGATGTCGAGTGTATTTCCGACCGAAAATGGAGGGCAAATAGCGTTCGACGAGTTGATTGCCGTATACTTTAAACCGGCGCTCAAATACTTTGAGGGAAAGGGACACAAACCGCAGGACAACTGTCCCTTCGATGCCAAAGAGGCGGCCCATCACGCGAGCAAAGAGGTTATCAAATCATTGCAATTGGGTTTGATAAAGGGCCTGGATAATTTGGTCACCCGGGCCAGATCAAGGGTACCCAAACTGGCACATAAAACCAAAGCCAAATAGGTTGAGTTAATCGGTTTTGTTTTTTTAAATTTATTATCTTGAATAAATAATATAATTTAGTTTTAACATTGTAATAAATGATTATTAATTGTAGTTAATAAATAATTGAGTGAATTATTGATAATAAATTATTATAATTGTAAATAATAACACACTTGACATTATTTTCAGGAGATAGAGAGAGAGAGAGAGAGAGAGANACTCGTCGAACGCTATTTGCCCTCCATTTTCGGTCGGAAATACACTCGACATCTTGTATATGTAGTGCTCGAAGTGACTATCAGTTTGATTGTTAGTTATATCGGGAGTAGAGAGTAATTTATTGAGGAGAGAGAGAGAGAGAGAGAGAGAGAGATTATATGAAAGATATTAATCTTGTATTAATTTAAGAGATTTATTCAAACTATTAAAAATGAAATTATATTACGGATGAAGAAAACAAAGCATATTATGAATGCTTTTAATCCACAGGAAATAATTAAATATAATCTAATCTTCACTGTATTAAACACTCAATCAATAGATAAATGTATTCGCATTTTCATTAAGTAAAATGCTTTCTATAAATACATGTATTAAACAAGGAAATGATTGAAATAAAGCTACTATTATTTAATAATGTTTAGTCTATAAAGGTTAATAATTGCCCTGATCATATCATAAATAAGCCAGCATCTACACCATCATCACCATGATCAAATAATGAATATCTGCTCAAAAAGTACCGGTATTTCCAATGCATTCATTTGATTGGAAAAGTTTTTTAAAATGTTTGTTTAAAACCCTTGGATATAATCCATAGGAATAACATGTTTATTGATAACGATTTGATATACAAGTACTCTATATATACAAGAGTCTGAAAGTCTCTGTAATTTAGTAAATAATGTTATTTAAATAATTCATTGAGAGTTTATTACAAATTACTTGTAACCAAATGTTTAAGTTTATTTTATAATATTAGTTAATTAACGCAACAATTAATGTAAATTAATTTTTATAAATTTAGTTATAATTTATTTAAATTTATAATTTATTAAACTGTTAAAAAGATATATTATTAAATGAAATACAATAACACATGATAAGTGGCAATAATAACATGGATGAGGTTAGGCGAGTAGACCGATACATCTATACCACTATTAACTTGTTGAACCATTTGATGTTTGTAAGTTATTTTGTTAAAATTATTATTATTATTTTAAATTACAATGAATTAAATTGTATTTTATTTTTATGTTTTATTAATTTAATAATTAACTATGTTAACAATTTCACCAGGGTTTAACATTTTCAAGTTTTGGTCCGACATATGTAGATTTCAAGTACTTGACCAGCTCGGATATGAGCTGGGTCGGTTTGTTTCCAAGTGTGGCCGCCTTTGCCTGTATTATTGGCTCGATTTGTATGTAATTATAATAAATAATTACAACATTCAATAAAAAATCAATACCACCATGCTAAATAAATAGAGTCTTTTGAATACTTCCATAATAATCCTTTACGTTAATTAATATACTAACCTAAATGTAATATAATTTTAAATTACAGTTGGCTTTCTATACAAATACCTGAACCGTCAGCTAACCCTGGCTATATTGATAACCATTCAATCATTGGCCACCATATTCATGCCATACTCGACCCAGATCTGGCACCTGTATCTGTGCATATTTCTATACGGCCTGGGCATAGGGGCATGGAACAACTCCAACAATGTCATTTTGATCGAGATGTGGCAACAAGCTAGTCCGTCGTTTTTGCAATTTTCCCAGTTTATCTACGGAGTGGGCACTATATTAGGGCCACTTATTGTGGGCCCCTATCTGTCGGGTGAAGTGAAATATGTGGACAGAGTGGCCATCGGTAATGGCAGTTATGAGCACCTGGTCTGGAATAACACCATCATCGATGAGTTTGAAAGCAACCGCAGGTCTAGGATTACGTTTCCCTATTTGGTTGGCGGTCTATTGCAAGCCATAGGTAGATGATTTAATTTTTTATATGACCTTAGTGAATTTTTAAAAATTATTTTTTGGTTTATACGTTTACATTGTATGCTTGGGTACATTAAGATTGTGTAACTTCTACGTTGAGGGTTGTTTAGATGCATCACTAGATTATTTATAAAAATATATAATACCATGTGTTTATTAAGTAAACTAAAAATTTCCGTATTTGCGCCAACCCTTATCGGCAAGAATTTTCATGATAAATGTTTACATAAATGAAGTGATAATAAAAAATAACTTTTATTTTTAATATTAATTACACAATAATTTGTGTGCATTTCTCATAAATGACTTTTTTTTGTTGCTTAAAATATTTCCAAACCACGAGATTATTATGAGATATGATTTGTTGCAAAACAAATCTTATCTCAATTATGCATAAATCACAAAATACTTGCCATAACAGACAGCCTGTGCTTTTCGGGGTCAGGCATACCGGTGCCATAATGTAGTGCCAGAATAATCAAGGCCAGTATTACTCATGCAATCTCATAATTAATTATTTAACATACATCAAATTGTGCAAAATTGTACAAAATTTAACATGAATGTTGCAATAATTAATTTACATATAAATTTACATTTACATATACCACATACAATGTGTCTCATCATTTTGAAATAATAATCAAATCAACTTATGCCACCTACAGGTCCAGGGCTAATGTTTCTCATGTACTTTTGCCGGCCCTACAAATACCAGGCGGAGGCGGACCCGTGCGCTGGCACCGGGACGGACACCGAGAGGGCACCACTACTAACAGCCAGTTGTATCCGTAAACTAGCGCTGGCCATACCCAAAAAGACCATCATCCTATGTGTGTCGCTATACCTAGCATTTGGCATAATGTCCGAAAACATGTACATGGACTTTTCCACCACGTACTTCCAATTCTCGCCCCTACATCTCACGGCCAATCGCGCGGCCGAGATATTCGCCACAATGTCGATAGCGTTGAGCACCGGGCGGGGGCTATCGGTGTTTATCGCGATGAAACTTCGCCCCCAGACAATGATCGCCTACCAAACGTGTATTGTATTCATGGGCTATTTGTACCAGTATTTTGGCCAATACTGGTCGGTCGGTCACCTGTGGGCCAGTTCGCTGATGATCTGTTTTGGCTATTCGAGCATATTCATTTGCCTGTTCTCGTTCGTGGGCCAGTACATGGAGGTGACCGATAGGGTGGGCGCCGTGTTTATCGCCTCATACAACTCGGTGTATCTGTTTTTGCCCTTTTTCTTGGGCTCCTATATCGAGGAGTGGCCCAACAGTTTTCTGTACATCGAGTTTGGCTCCCTGTGCGCCGCCATCGGCGCGCTGGTAGTCGTGTTGCTGGCCGTACGCAAAGTACCCAACGAATGCCTTAGGTTATAGGCAGCACTATGTTTGTGGCCCCACCCATGATCGTTTTAATTATTATGTTATTTATACGGATTTATACTTTGATTTACTTATTATTATTATTATTATAACTATTATTATTAATATTTATTTAATACGATTGTCATTATTAAAGACCTATGTACCACAATTGTATCACTGAGTATTGTGCCACTATATTGACCACAGGCTTGATCACGTTAACCACGTGGTGGTCGACTTGAAACGTATATCACTTAACACGTGCGGCCACTGTTGAGCGCACGTACGTTGAGCGAGGCCGCGGCCGCCGGTGCGGGCGGTCAGTACACGACGGCCTACACTGTCAATGGCGTCGGCCAGCAGTGCCTTCTCGTAGAGTAACCGACTGTTCATTACGTATATTTTGAAGTTAAATTTGGTGAACGCTATGAACGCGCCGGGAATCAGACACTTGGCCACCGAGTGGTGTATGGGTCCCAACAGGTCGGCCGGTTTGACGCAATGCACCAGAGATATGGTGCCCAACAGGGCGTCCGCCAAACCGTTCACTAATACAAACTCGTTTATGTTCAGTGAGGCTGTCAAAAATTGGATCATGGTCAAAATTAATTAATCAATATTGAAATATAAGGAGAGAGAGAGAGAGAGAGAGAATTTTAAAAAATATACACTCAATGTTTCGAATATGTCCAGTAATTAAATATATTGACCGTGGTTATAAATAAAATATATTGATCATTTATATGGCCCTCAAAGACGAGACCACGCATTACGATCAGAGCGTAGAGATTGGCGCCAAACTGAGGCTCGTTAACGAACGAC